CCCTGTAGGCATCATGGCAGAGGGAGGAGTTGAAGCAGGGGAATATTTTCAGCTTTGCAGCGAGTGTGAAATGGAAACCCAAGGGGGGATACCGCCTTGAGCACAGCTGCTCCTTTCTGTAGGCCTGGGCACGATGGGACTCTCTAGAGGTTTGGAAAGGAGGGTTACCCAAGCATGGGCTGAAGCACCACTCACTAATTCCTGGAAAGCTAAGAAATTGGAGGTGGGAGAGCTCACATGTCCCCTGGGAGGCTCCGTGGACACCCTACTGGAGGTGCTGGTGACACAGCTTGGAGGGAATGGTGAGGAGTGTATGTCTGGAATTCTTTTGCCAGGCAGGACAGATTCCCCAGTGGGCATCTGGAATCCAGGGCCAGTGTCTAGTGAGACTAGTGGGTGGACCTTTGGCCTTTCCCACATCTAACAAGGGGAGCAAGGATCAGGCCCTCTGTCTAAAGAAGGGCTCTTGTGCCAGGCAAAGTGTAGTTTCATTGCTGTGCATAGGGCTGTGCACCTGCACAGCAGGAACAGCTGCCTCTGTTTCCCACATGCAGCGCGTCTCCAGCTGCCCCGTGCCATACATTGGCACAGCAGGTGAACGGCTGCAGCCTCCTTTCCTGCAATGAGGTCAGGGAGAGCCCAGCGGAGTCGTTCAATGTGTCACAAATACTCTGGACACGTGAGTGACCTCCACTGTGTCTAGGCAGCTACTTCCCGCACGCACCACCAGGACGCACCCACCATGAGGAAAGGCCAGGGCAGACCAGGCCAGGATACTACTCCACTTCCCCCTATTGCAAAGTGCAATCCCCTGACTCAGCCCAGTCCTCCGCAGCTCCTGAGAGCAGCCCACGTGAGGGTTGACTCATTGCTCAAGGGGGGGAGATGGACACAGAGCATCCACATGCACATAGTGCTACACACACACATCTGGCCCCTCTCACACATGCTGTTGTGGTCTAATTGTACGATGTGGTGCTACTGGGGACTTTTGGGATGGGGAGACCAGGCTGATCTGTGCAGCCAGCCTGTCTCCGGGCATCTGGGTGAAAATGACTGCCCTGCTCTTTCCAGAAGACAGAGCCTTTAAAACCCCTGAGATATCTCTCCTCAGCCCAGATGCCTTACTGCCCAGTGGGAAACACCCAGAGCAGGTCAGTTTCAGGGCAAGAGGTAAAGGAGATTGTTAGAAGTATCGACAGCCTCCTACAGCCAAGGATCATGAGATAATCTCAGATATGCTGAGATTAAATTTTCATAATCGTACTAAAAACTGGGCCTTCTGGTTTCTGAGCCTCTATGTTGCATTCAGATCCTGTTCTCAGGCTTTGCTCCACAACCAGGAGGGTTAGAAAGTTAACTTTCCTTGTAAATGAAAGCTGAGATTCTCGTGAAGTCACAAGACTCCAGGCCCTGGGGCTTTTAGGAAAACACCAAATATCGCAAGCTCACAGTGAAATTGGGAGAGTTGGCAATGCCACGTTAGGCTTCACGAGTCATAATCATTCTGGATGGGCGACACCTTCCATGTGCTTGGACACTGATTTGTAGATGGCAGGCCAAGTAACCATCCATCAACGCATGATAAACTCCAGTGATCTCAAATTGGAGATTTATCCTTGAATTTAGGCCTAACGTATTCTGATCACAGCAAAGCTCAGGGCATCTCGGAGCAAAAACAGGTGCTAGCTTGCAGGCTGCAGTCGCCCTGCGCACCTGGGCAAGCATGCTGCTCTGGAGGCCAGAGGGGAAAGAACAGAGAGCAGGGCTTTCTTGCTGGAGAGGCACATGTGAGGGCAGATGGTGCCCCCTGGTGTTCATGTGTACTGGTTACATTCCCTAGAGATACATACATGGAAATGTGATGAAGAAGGCTCCCTGTGTTCACACAGTTCTAAGTCAAAAAATCGTCCAATTTCCCTTGCCAAGAAAAGTCCATGAATTAGAAATCACTGTCTGGGTTGGCTGTTCCTTCTGACACACAAAGCTGTCACATATCCCTGCTTCCTGCCAGAGTTCAGCACCATTGCAGAGAAAGGGTTCGTGTGACTCGGAGAGGGGCATGGTTCTGACCCATCCTGTATTCAAAGAGGAGCCGAGCATCCAGCTGCATGTGTCCTGGTCTAAGGGATGGAGCTGTCACTAAATCTCTCTCTCTCTCACACACACACACACCCATACACACACCCCTCCCTCCCCAGTTTGGAGGTTCAGCCATCCCCACTGCATATGCTGTGTTAATTGCCATAATACTGAGACAAAATCAAGCTGTACTGTAACATCCCATTCTGCTCCAGTGATTTGTAACAACAGGCTGTGATTATGTACATGGAGCCAACACTGGCCTCAGCAGGCAGTGCACGCGCACATGGCATTAGCATGAAACCCAGGCCCGTCCCAATCCTAAGAAAACAGCCTGGCTCAAAGAGCAGCCAGCAGGGTCACTGTGCATCTGACAGCCAAAGGCAACTTGCAAAGGGAAGAAAATGTTTGTCCCCTGCTTTTTATTTGTCGTCTTGCTGGGGGGAAAAAAGAAAACAAAGTTTGGACTTTGTTTTTTTCACACAAGGAAAAGGTTGTGGGGGAGGGGGAGGAAGGTTCTGCTTGGTTTTGACATTATGTTCTGTAGGGGCCTTTGCTTTTTTTTCTCTGGAAGAGGCCTCGGCCCACTGGGAATGGTGATTTGTATTCCAATTGTTTCAAACTCTTTATGTGAACACCTATTTAGCACAACCGTTGGGGGGGAAAAACAGTCCAGCGGAATGAGGGTAACCCTGACTCAACAATCAGCAGCCAGTTTTTGCTGTAGCAGCATGCCTGCTGCAGCTGCCTAGGGGTCCCAGCTGTGAAATCAGGTCATGTTAGACTTAGAACACCACCCTGAAGAGCCACATCAACAAACACGAAGTTCAACGTGGCTTTGCAGTCAGAATGGACAGGGATAAGTTACACTTAACGCTGTGTCAGCTGGTCATAGTTAACCCTACAATTCGGTAGGGTTTGCTCATGGCCAGCTGACATGATGTTGAAGACTACAGTTTCTGTCTACACCAAGTGGCAAGTCGTGTCAGCATTCTGTTAGTGGACATGACTCCTCATGATCAGAGTCCTAACTCAAGCTGGTTTTCTAGTGAAGATGAGCCCTAAATGCAGACAGGGGTGTAGAATCATAGAAATGTAGGGCTGGGAGAGACCTCGAGAGGTCACCTAGTCCATCGCCACATGCTGAGGCAGGACCACATAAACCTAGACCATCCCTCACAGGTCTGTTCAACCAGTTCTTAAAAGCCTCCAAGAATGGAGATTCCACAACCTCTGTTGGAAGCCTTTTCCACGAGCTTAACTATCCTTATAGTTAGACAGTTTTTCCTAATATCTAACCTACCTTGCTGCAAATTAAGCCCATTACTTCCATCTTCTGTGGACATGGAGATCAATTGATCATTGTCTTCTTCATAACAGCTCTCAACATATTTGACGAGTGTTATCAAGTCCCCCCTCAGTCTTCTCTACACTGATCATGCCCAGTTCTTTCAAATTTCTTCACAGGTCAGGTTTTCTAAACCTTTTATCATTTGTATTGCTTTCCTCTGGAGTCTCTCCAATTTGTCCCCATCTTTCCTAAAGTGTGGTGCCCAGAACTGGACACAGTACTCCCGCTAAGGCCTCACCAGTGCCTGGCAGAGCAGGCCAATGACCTTCCATGTCTCACATACAACGCTACTGTGAATACAGCCCAAAATGTCATTTGATTTTTTTCACTGCAGCATCACACTGTTGACTTGTACTGAATTTGTGAGCCACTGTGAACTCCAGGTCCTTTTTCGCAGGACCACTGCCTGGACAGTTTGTCCCCATTTTGAAGTTGTGCATTTGATTTTTCCTTTCTAAGTGACGTACTCTGCACTTGTCTTCACTGAAATTTTTTTTTGTTGCTTTCAGATCAACCAGTTTATCAAGATCATTTTAACTCTAATCGATTACACCAGCTTGGTATCATCTGCAGAAAGTATAAGCATACTCTCCACTCCATTATCCAAGCAAGTCATTAAAGAAAATATTGAATAGAACTGGACCCAGGTCAGACCCCTGTGGGACCCACTTGGTATGTCCTCCCAGTTTGACAGCTACTCTTTGAGTTTGGTTTTTCAGCCATTTGTGCACCCACCTTATAGTAATTTCATCTAGGCCACATTTCCCTAGTTTGCGTATGAGAATGTCATGTGACATGCAGAGGTTGGCATGGACCTTTGCCCATGTGGCTGAGGCGACAGTAACTGGTGGTTCCCAGGAGAACATCAGTGGCTGGTGCTCAGCCCTCGGGAGCAGTTTCTGATTCCATTCTCAAGGGTGTCTCCACCAGGGAAAGTAGTAAACAGCCAGCAAGGGTTTCCAAGCCATCTGAGGAAGTTAGGTGCCTTGCCCAGCTCCCATTGGCTGTCACAGGATTTGGGCCCCTGCCATCCTGGGGCTCCAGTGAAAAGCCCCGCCTGAAGAAGTGACCACTGAGGGGCACCTGTCTCTTTCCAGAAGCCCGGTCAGGCGTATCGTGACCTTCCCCCAAGTGCCTGTGTTCAGACAGCCAAGCCCCCTAACCCCCTAGTGCATTCCCCTCCATAGGCATCTGGCTGCATTTTAAGGGAGGCCCTTAATTTGCTGTCTCATGTCCCATGACCTGGATCTACTCGGGAGCTTCTAAGACCCCTGTGCAAGGCCAAGAGCCATGGTACTTGTCAGTAACCAGGGAAGGGCTCACGCGCCAGGACACAGCCAGCTAACGCCCCATGGGGAATGCAAACCTCTGGGGTGCTGCCCTGGGAAATGAACCTTGTCTTGTATTTCCCACACAACTGTCTTGGACGAATGCTCACTGCCTCCCTTTAGAGCCCTCTCTAAGTGCTGCTACCCTACCTGAGCACCCAGCATCCCCCATTCAACCCCACCGTGCCTGCTCCTCTTGGGGAGATACCACATACTCCCCTCTTCATGTGCCACCCGACACTGCTCCTCCCACTCGGTGAGATACACAGCCTCTGGCCCCTTTGGAGCTCCCCTCTGAGCAACACCGCCAGGCGCCCACATGAACCACAGCAAAGGGAAGCGGGGATTGTTGGTGTATTAAAAATAGCAACTTTAGACTGCAAATGCTGCTTGTGGATGTGCTCTTCCAGCTCTTTCCAGGCGGCTTGTCTCCATGAGCTGGCCCAGTGGACACTAGCCAAAATAGGCAGAGTAAATGCTAAACTGGGGAAACAAAGTTTTATGTGCCAGCTGCTTTTTAATTCACAGCACAGCTGACTGCATGATGCTACCGCAAGTCCTGCTCTGTGGGAGCCAGACCTGCTGTTCTAGGACTCCTTTGTTTGCTGCCATGAACTGGTCAAAACTGTTGACTGGGAGGTTGAGCCAGTGGGTCACTGTAGGATCCTGATCTAGCCTCCTCTGCCAGAAGCCAAACACCGGGTCCGCGGTGCTCAGAAAGCCCGGCTTCTCCTATGCTTCTCAGGAGATCTGAAAACAGGGAGAGGGGATGAGAAGGGGAAATGCTGTCATTCAAGCTTAAGGCTGTGATTTTACCCTGGGGTTTATTACACCCTCAAATAGCCACTGTCTGGGGACCCAGGAGAGAGTGTCACCATGCCCTGGGATATTGCACACAGGGCTGTTTTACTGGGGGAGCTTGTTCTGCCTGGGTCTGGCCCTGCCAGGGGCAGTGTGTCCTCATCTCATTAAAGTCAATGGGAGCTGAGGGTGGTCGGCACCTAGCAGAGGCACCGAGTACCTTTCAGGACGGGGTCCTATTAGAACATCCTTCTTGCTGCCATCCTTCCACCCCCAGGTCAGCAGGCTCCCTGGCCTGGGGAAAGAACCTGGGCGAAACAGCAGTGCTTGCGCCTGGTGCGCAAGGCAGGCCAGGGGGACAGACAGCTCTGTGGGGCAAGAGGCAATTCACCGTCCCAAGCGGCTCAGAGTAGCGCACATGCACTCGTCCTCCACGCTGAAATGGAGGCAGAAAGGGGACATTTTAATTTACAATTGAAGTTCTGGGCCATGCCCTCCTGTCACCCTACTGCCCCTCAGGGGAGGGCTACATGCCTAGCAAACGCAGGATTGTAGTGGGCCCCCACGCAGGTCAGCTGGCAGACACTGTGGTGGAAAGTTAAATCTTAATCCTCCTCTTCCTTGGCTAACTCAAGGACTTGGAAGCTGAGTTTCCTGCACTGACATTAGCTCCAGTCTCCTGTGGAGCAGCCCATTCTCGCCAGAACCCTTCTGATGATTCACAGGGTTTGCTTGGTGGAAGCAATGAGATGGTAGATGCTGGAGGCCCATGTGGGCGAGAGTCAGCCAGCAACTCTGGAGGCATTCTAGAACCCAGGGGTGTGGGACCTGCTCTGTGAGACTAGCCTCTGGCTAGCGCACTGGAGTGAGCCACAGCCCAGCTTCATTTTTGGAGGTATGGCACCACCTTGTGGCCATTTAGCTTCAGGTCTAACGCTCTTTAGCTTAACTAAGAATTAAGTTCATTCCTTTTGTTTTTTCTGGAACTTGAATGTGGGGAGGTTGACTTTGTGTGATCCTTACTGAAAATCCTTATAGACTGAACTCTGCGTCTCCAGGTGCTTTTTCTGTGGGAGTTGGGGTTTTTGGGCAATGAAGTGAGTGCCCAGTGGTTCTCAACCAGGGATATGTGTACCCCTGGGGCTATGCAGAGGTCTTCCGGGGGTACATCAACTCATCTAGATATTTGCCTAGTTTTACAAAAAGCACTAGCGAAGTCAGTACAAACTAAAATTTCATACGTGTTTATGAAAAAAGAAAAGGAGTACTTGTGGCACCTTAGAGACTAACCAATTTATTTGAGCATGAGCTTTCGTGAGCTACAGCTCACTTCATCAGATGTATACCGTGGAAACTGCAGCAGACTTTATATACACACAGAGAATATGAAACAATACCTCCTCCCACCCCACTGTCCTGCTGGTAATAGCTTATCTAAAGTGATCAACAGGTGGGCCATTTCCAGCACAAATCCAGGTTTTCTCACCCTCCACCCCCCCACACAAATTCACTCTCCTGCTGGTGCTAGCCCATCCAAAGTGACAAGCTATTACCAGCAGGACAGTGGGGTGGGAGGAGGTATTGTTTCATATTCTCTGTGTGTATATAAAGTCTGCTGCAGTTTCCACGGTATACATCTGATGAAGTGAGCTGTAGCTCACGAAAGCTCATGCTCAAATAAATTGGTTAGTCTCTAAGGTGCCACAAGTACTCCTTTTCTTTTTGCGAATACAGACTAACACAGCTGTTCCTCTGATATGTGTTTATATTGCTCTATCTACTATACACTGATGTATGTACAATATTTATATTCCAATCTATTTATTTTATAATTTTATGGTAAAAATGAGAAAGTAAGCCATTTTTCAGTAATAGTGTGCTGTGGCACTTTTTTGTATTTTTATATCTGATTTTTTTGTAAGCAAGTACTTTTTAAGTGAGGTGAAACTTGGGGGTATGTACGACAAATCAGACTCCTGAAAGGGGTACAGTACTCTGGAAAGGTTGAGAGCCACTGGACTAGTCCACCCAAAAGTAACACATGATGTCTGCGAATTGCTGTGAGCACTTCACATCCCTTCTAATCAAACTCTCTGGAGAATGGAAGGTATTGGAGACCACTGTCTTGATCTTCACCATCCCTGGGGAGTGGGGACACCCCCGCTCCCAAAGACAATGCTAGTCGCAAAGGTTTCCGTCCCTGCGGGGCCTGGGCCTGTGCTCCAGAACTACCCAAGCAATTCAATATCCTCACAGACCCTCCCATAGGGAAAATTAAAGCCAGGTTTCCTTAGGGATTTATTTCAATGGTGCATAGCAAATTTTAAAAGTGCCTCTGAAAGAGCGAAGCTCAGCCAGCGACAGGGAAACCACCCAAATGTAAAAGATGAACTGCAAAATGGACTTTGGCCATTCCATTCTAATTTCTTTCTAATGCAGTGAGGCAGCCTGCAAGGGGGTTATTGGTCTTCACGTTTCCTTCCTGCATTTGACATTGGAAGTCTGAGGGCTGGTTTACATTTAAAACTTAGGTCAGCATAGCCACGGTGCTCAAGGGAGTGAAAAATCCAGCTCAGGGATGCTCTAACTTACACTCTGTTTTCCATTGCCCTGGAGCCCTAGTACACTCTGGCTACAACCCCCACCCAGCATAAGGGCCTGGGATTCAGTTCTCCTAGGGGCTGCTGGGAAATATTCAGTAAGGGTCAAATCCAGCATTCCTGGCTGTTTTGATGCAGTTACCCAGACAAATTTTTCCTGGGAGTTTGCCCAAGTGAGAAGTGTGCACCCCAGGTTTGCCCAGGGATTGCATCACGGAGGGGAGCCTGCACCCCATGTGGTTGCTCCAGGGTCTGCATGGGGAATAGGGTGCGGGGGGTGTGAGCAGCCCAGGGGCAGAGGCACAGCATCACCCCTCCACCCACACAGAGATTACCTGGGATCCACAATGACTTCTCCTCTCGCTGGCCCCTCCAGCTCACCAACCTTATGCCCACTGGAGCTCACGGGCCCATGGGATGATGCATGTTTTCTGCACTGGGTCTCAAGCACAGCTATGCAGAACTAGAAGTCCTCTGGAGTTATACCACCCTTGTGGTTCTCAATTACCCCAGGGATTTTCAGCCCTGCTCTTGGGGTACTATAACAGATATTCACTGTACTTCCTCTGTTGCTTTTCAGGTCTTGTGTCCTTTCCCTCCTCTCTTCTCCCACAAAGCGACTCTCACTGCTGCAGGCAATGTTTCGGATATGGTGCCACCCCACCCCCTTCTTCCATTCCTATTCTCCCGTACCCGGGAGACTGCAGCCATCCATTTGAATGCTCCAATTATGAGAACCAAACAAGCATGAGATTCAGAATCTCTCATTTAGTATCACTTGTGGCTCTCCTTGCTTATTTCCCCTACGTACATTTGTGCACAGAAACTTGAATGCAGTAAGACGACTTCATTTCCTATCGCAGAACAACTGCATCATCTCTCGTTTTGCACGCTGGAAGTGCATGCCAGACTGTTTGAGTTCAGCAAGTGCTTTCCTTCCTCTCTTCCTATCTAGACTCAAGCCTGTGAGAACGCTGGCAGTTCTGATCATTGGGAATCTGATCCCTTTCTCCTGAAGTGCAGGCTCAAAGCATGGCTCTAACTATCTGTGTCACACCAAGCAGCTAGTAAACGTCCAGTTAGGAGCTATACCATTCCAGAGGCTGGTTGTCCTCTTAAAAACCACCCACTTGCGACTAACCTTCCATTCCTCACCGTTCTAGCCCTACTGCTCTCTGGGCACATGCAGTAGCAGCAGAGGTGCTGGACTGAACACTGCTGACAACCTGGCATTCTGTCCAGGGCGCACATGGCACTGTGTGCTCTCCCTTTGGTTGTCTTGACGTGATTCCGAGTAGAAGTCAAATGTTCCACACGTCCCTCTTCCCATTGTAGGGACCAGGCCAGATTCGTGTTTTTGGGTTCCACTGCTGCGAGCAGGTGGAGTCCAACATTCAGTTTCACAGCAGTCGAAAGCCTAGCTGGCGCAGTGGGAGGTGGTGTGAAAGCCAGCTGAAACCTCTGCCCTCCATGTGCTTCCTGGGGTATGTATGCCTTTATTTATTCTTCTATGGTACCTCCTATGACATCATTTTTCAGGTTCTTTTAGGCTCTCACCTGTGGTGTATTGAAAACTGTTAAAATTACAAGCTGTCACTTTAAATTCCAAGGGGTTTCCTGTTCCAGCTTGCAGGCTAGGGGACTCTGAGGGAAGCATAGGATGTGTCCTCAGCTGTCAGTCTGCGAAGAGCCAGCCTAGACTCAGGCGGGGTGAGTTGTGCCACGCTGCCTTCAAGAGCAGCCTGCTTTCTCTCTGCATGTTTAGTTTTGGTTCTTGTGCATTGGGGTTCTGGATATAGAAAAAATAAAATAGTGTTATACTACAGCCTCCCAGCAGGAATATTTTATTCTAATTCTCTGTCTGTATGCTGTGAACATTACATCACCAAAGGCTGCCCAGCAAAGGAAGTGAGTGTCAAGCGAACAGGACAAGTTCTGAGGCTATCTTTAAAGGGTCAGTGAAAGACAAAACTAATGTTTGGTGTTACTCCAGAGTTCACCTTTAAAAGAAAGCAACATCTATACAGGGGACCTCTCACATGTGAGCTCCAGACAAAGGAGTATCAGAGCGATCCCACTCTCCCCACTAGTTTAAGGCAGCAAAGAATCCCATCCCAGTGACTCAAGAGTGGAAAGCAAACACTAACCACTAGGAGAAGAGGCCAAAGCAATTTCTGCTCCATACCTGATTCATTTCCTCCCCTTTGTTTTATGATCCTAGAAGTTTGCTACTATGAAGGCTCTTCCTAAAATCCTTTCCACTGTCTTCTCATCACTCAGGTCCCCCTTCATCACCCCATCTCACTGGTCACAGAGCGCTAGAACAATTGACCTCACATCCCTGGTCACAGGTCTCATGGCAAAACCCAAGTCGGTCAGCAGCACTCTGGCCACTGAGCCATTTCAAACACGTCCGAGACATGAGGGCTATGCAGCAGGGCTGAGGGGGTACCTGCTGGAGCTCGGTATTGCTAGTGGGAAAGTGGAAGGTATGCTCAGTGGTGCTGTTTTAATACAAAGACTTTCCTCTCTGTGGAATGACACCAACAGGGACTGAAGTCTAGAACTAAAAGTCTGGGCCTCTGCTGCTAAAGACCTGATCCATTAGCGCAGGGGCAGTAGCAGACTCAAACACTATACATGCTCTAGCCACCAGGGGTAGAGAGCTACACTGCGTTTACTGGGATACATCCATGGTAGGGCTGGATTCAAATGGCTTCAGTCACAAGTGAAATGCTTTCATTACGTGGATCACATTGACACGGAATTTAATCTACGATGACACAGCCCAGCTACCTACAGTCATTGTTGCTATCTCACTAATGAATGTTATGAGCTGGGTTAAACCTTGTTACAGGTTGAGTGAAAATGATGGGTGGGAACACACCCTTCATTCAGGATAGCTGGAAGAGACAGTTAAGGGGCCACATCTAAAACAAGGAATCATGAAGTCTGCCCAGAAACTCGCACCATGTGGGCAGAGAGTTCCACTGGGCATTCTGTCCAAGTGGGTGCAGGTATGCAAAAGAGAAGCTTATATGCAGCCAAATAACTGAGAGACTGCACAGACTGAGGCTATGTCTACAGAGACTATACTAGAAATATGTCACCGAAGCTATTCCAGCATAACCCTGCAGTATAGATGCAGCCTACACCTATGGAAGAGGGTTTTCCATCAGGGTAGAACTCTACCGCCCCAAACAATGGTAGCTACATCAACAGAAACATTCTTCTGTTGACAGAGCTTCATCTACCTAGGGGGTAAGGACAGTGTAGCTACATCGGTCAGGGTGTGGGGTTTTTTTCACACGTCTAACCAACATAGCTATGCAGGCGTAACTTTTAAGTGTAGACCTGGCCTGTGGGGTTGTGATAAATGAGGGCGGGGGAGGGGGGTGAGCTCCCTTTTATGGACACCCAGCCAGCTAGTAGCTATAAAATCCCTCTTAGTAGCTGTTCTCTAATTGCCCTACCTGTAAAGGATTAAAAAGTCTCATTGCCATGCATAGGTAAAAGGAAGGGAGTGGGCACCTAGCCAAAAGAGCCAATGGGAAGACTAAAACTTTTTAAAATTGAAATAAGACACCCCTTTTGTCTGTCTGTTGTTTTCCAGGGAAAGGCGGACAGAACAGCGCTATGCTGTAAGAGCTTGGGCCAAGTATGAGAAAAATCATCAGTATCATACCTAGAAATGACTCATTTAAAACCCCAGATATGTAAGTAGATCAGGAAATGTCTAGGAAGATGTGATTAGGTTTATTCCTTTTATTTCCTTATGGTTTGTGGATTCCTCTGTGCTAACCCCAGGTGCTTTCTGTTTTGCTTGTAACCTTTAAGCTGGACCTTAAGAAAGCTATTCCTGATGCTTAATTCTTGTAGTTGTTTTTGTTTTAAATCTAGCAAATGCCTAAGTTCCCGAATGTATTTTCTTTCTTTTTTTATTAATAAAATTTACCTTTTTTAAGAACAGGATTGGATTTTTGTGTCTTAAGAGGTTTGTGCACATGTTGTTGAATTAGCTGGTGGCAACAGCTGGTTTCTTTTTTTTTCTTTCTTTCTCAGCTCTTCCTCGGAGGGGGGAGTGAAAGGGCTTGAGCGTACCACACAGGAAGAAATTCCCAAGTGCGCCTTCCTGGGTTCTCAAAGGGGTTCTGCACTTGAGTGGTGGCAGCATCTACCCATCCAAGGCCCTTAACCCAGACCAAGTTCTAACAGCGGAAGACAGGAATTTCTTCCTAGAGATGAAGCGCTTGGAGGCAGAGGAGAGAGATGAAGTGCTTGGAGGCGGAAGCAGAGGAGAAGCGCTTGGAGGTGAAGCATTTGGAGGTGGAGGAGAGGAGAGACATGAAGCGCTTGGAGGCAGAGGAGAGGAGAGAGATGAAGTGCTTGGAGGCGGAAGCGGAGGAGAAGCGTTTGTAGGCAAAATATTTGGAGGTGGAGGAGAGGAGAGACATGAAGCGCTTGGAGGCAGAGGAGAGGAGAGAGATGAAGCGCTTGAAAGCGGAGAAGCACTTGGAGGCGGAGGAGAGGAGAGAGATGAAGCGCTTAGAGCTGGAAAGGGCTATGCTGGGTCAACCAGGTAGCCCTAGAAGTCCTCCTCCAGGTACCGCTCCCCATTCCAAGCAATTCCCCACATACAAGGTAGGCAATAATACAGAAAATTTTGAAAGAGCCTGCCTTCAGTACAACATCCCTCCAGACCAGTATGTAGTGGAACTGAGGCCACAACTCAGTGGACCCTTAGCAGAGATGGCAGCTAAAATGCCTAACGTACACATGAATGAGTACGAATGTTTTAAACACAAGGCCAGAATTAGGATGGGGCTAACACCCGAGCATGCCTGTCAGCGGTTCAGAGCCCTAAGGGGTAAACCAGACATGGCATTTTCCCAACACACCTATCACATTGTGAAACATTGGGATGCCTGGATATCAGGAGCAAATGTTAAGTCTCTGGCAGATGTGTCTCTCCTCATACAAATGGAGCAGTTCTTAGTGGGTGTTCCTGAGGAAATAGAAAGGTACTGTAACGGTGCCCCCCATAAGGCTTTATGGAAATATGCTTATTGAATGTATATATGACATAACTAGAATATGTTTTATGCTACATATGCCATGTAACATATCTCTGTAAAGGTTATGAATCTATTAATCTACTGAATCTATTAATCCTATTTGTATGCATGTATCGTTTTTGTATTTGAAGTTATGAATATTGGCTGTGTACTGGCTTGATTTTTAAGTAGCCTTTGTAAAGCATTTGGTCAGCTTCTTGACAAAGGAATGTGCAAATTAAATGCCCAATCAAGAAGCACTTAAGAGACCATGGATCTTGGAAGGCTCCAATCCACATAAGAAGTCTACATGAGGACATTCAAGGTAGCAGGTAAGCAATGGCTGCTGCCTGAAAAAACTGAGTCCTGCATGGACATGTGACTCCAAAACTCCATCTTGGAGCTAGACTTTGCATGGGGGGGTCTCCACCCACAAGAGAAAGTTTATTTAAGCCCAGGGGAGACTCCTCCATTTTATCTTCAGCTGGCTCAAGAGATAGCCTCTCCACCCCCAAGGATACCTGAAAGAAACTGGAACAAAGGACAGTAATTACAGGGGGTCTGAGTGATTGCTGCACCCAGACTAGAAGGAGATCAGTCTGTAAAAGGAAGCTTACTGGGTGAGGTTTTTATCTGTATTCAGTTTTCTTAGACATAGACTTGCGTGTTCTATGTTATTTTGCTTGGTAATTCACTTTGTTCTGTCTGCTATTACTTGGAATCACTTAAATCCTACTTTCTGTATTTAATAAAATCACTTTTTACTTATTAATTAACCCAGAATATGTATTAATACCTGGGGGGGTGGGGTGCAAACAGCTGTGCATATCTCTCTATCAGTGTTGTAAAGGGCGAACAATTAATGAGTTTACCCTGTATAAGCTTTATAAAGGGTAAAACGGATTTATTTGGGGTTTGGACCCCATCGGGAGTTGAGCATCTGAGTGTTAAAGACAGGAACACTTCCCAAGCTGCTTTCAATTAAGCCTACAGCTGTTAGGGGACGTGGTTCAGACCTGGGTCTGGGTTTGCACCAGGCTAGCAGTTCTGGCTCAAACCAGGCAGGGCACTGAAGTCCTAAGCTGCCAGGGCAGGAAAGCAGGAGCAGAAGTAGTCTTCGCACACCAGGTGGCAGCCCCCAGGGGGTTTCTGTGATCCAACCCATCACAGGTACATTCTAGATGGGAAGCCCAAAACTGTAATCAAGGTGGGGGAGATCGGAGCCAAATGGGTGGAAGTGGTGGAGAAGAAAAAAGCTAGTAGCAGTTGGTGCAGATACCAGAAGGGGCAACCCGAGACAACACCCCATCATCGGAGTCAGCCCAAGGTCCCACCTCACAAGGAGGAGCCCTCCACATAGTCGGGGAGACCGCAAATAAATTCTCATCCTACCACCCTACTCTCCAACCACCCACCTTGCCCCAGCTGACAGTCAGCTGGGCGATGCTTCAAATGTAATGAGCTGGGGCAGGTAAAAGCCAACTGCCCCAAGAGCACCAGCTGACTGCAACTCATCACCCTACGATCCCACTGACAGCCTTCAGGCCCAGATACCTCACAAATACCCACAGAGCGAAGGGAAACTGTGAGTGTGGGCGGAAGGAAGATTACTGCATGGAGAGACACTGGAGCACAGGTGTCAGCTTTCCACCAATTCCTAGTGGATCCCAAATTCATCAACCCAGAGGCCCTAATCACAGTACAACCCTTTAAGGCCAACTCTTTTAACTGCTTA